TCTCTGGTTAGCACATATTCTTTAATGTCATGTTTCTCTACATGTCTCAAAACTAGGTATTTAAAAAATATATATTTGCTAATTTCATTTCTGCAGTCCTTGAAGGACTAACTGAACAATATTTCACTTTTCCCATTGTCACCCATGATGATTCATAAACCCCTACTTTCAACAATTAATCAGTGGGATATTTCTAGAGGGCTGACTGAGAGTGACTTCCCCAAAGTTAATTTGCATTACTAGTCAGGAAATGCAAGGTACCAACCAAGGACCCCTTGAAGATCATTTACTAATATTCAAGGATGCATTAAACCTAGGGCGATGCCCACATGATGACAGGGCTAAGGTGAAATGCTCAGAAAGCACCTTTTGTTCTCATCTGGAGAAGAGGGGGAAGCAGGCTGGTTTCTGAACCATCTGGCTTTGCTAAGTAACAGAGTCTGCTCTGCCTCACCTCCTCTGAGCCCTAACTTTATTTCAGAAGTTTCTATCCAATTCTGTGACATGCAAGGGATCTAAGGAGCTTCACACTTCACACTGTTGGAATTTGGCATTTCAACTAGAGTTTTCACATATTGGTAGTAGGGGTACAGAATGGATCACACAGTTTGTAAAATAATTTGGCAGTTTCCTATGAACTTGAACATTGATTTCTGACTTGGTGATCCCATGCCTACATATTTACATAAATGAACAAAACTTTTTACTCACACAGAAATCCATCTGCAAATAGATAGTGCTTTATTCATAATTACTAAAAATTGAAAACATTCAATTGTCCATCCATTGAGAAATGGCTTAACAGGCATGTATGTCTTTGTGAGCTTTTATTGTTAACCTGACATATCCTAGAGTCACCTGAAATGGGAGTCTCAATCAAGGGGTCACTCAGATGAGACTGGCCTGTGGGAATGTCTGTGGGAGATGGTCTTGATTATTAACATTATGGCATGCAAGTGGTCCTGCCACAGATAGTCATGTTCTATATAATAAAGTTACCTAAGCATAAGCCTGAGACTAAACCATCAAGCAGCACTCCTCTACAGTTTCTGATTCAAGTTCCTGCTTGAGTTTCTGTCCTGACTTCTCTCAATGATGGGCCGTAACACAAAGTAGAAGCAAAATAAATCCTTTCTTCTCCTAAGTTGCTCAGTCATGATATTTATGACAGCACCAAAAGGTAAACTTATATACAGTGGTTTATTCATACTGAAAAACTGGTATATTACCAACAATAGAAAAGAGTAAACCACCCAAAATACAAGAACCTGGGTGAATTCCAATGTGCATAGTTATATAAATGTCCATATGCACAACTGATTTCATTTATAGAACATTCTAGAAATGCAAAACTAAAGTGTCAGAACAGACAAGTGGCTTGGGATAGGAAGGACAAGAGGAATAACCTACAGAAGTTGTGATAATTCTTATATTCATATCAGCTTCAGCTGTACATTCAGAAAGGTGACTTTTACTAAGTGTAAATTATAACTTAAATTTTTTTTGGTTTTTTGAGACAGGGTTTCTCTGTGTAGCTTTGGAGCCTATCCTGGCACTTGCTCTGGAGAACAGGCTGGCCTCAAACTCACAGAGATCTCCCTGCCTCTGCTTCCCGAGTGCTGGGATTAAAGGCATATGCCACCAACGCCTGGCATATCTTAATTTTAAAAGGAAAAAAAACCAAGGTGGTGACAAAAAACCAACGTTCTAGGTCTCTAGTTTGGAAAATTCTATCCTGGTTTTTCTATCTCCTTCATATATTTAGTCCCTAAAGGATTCTTATTGTAAGTACAATGATGAAATTTTAAAAATTTCGCCTGTAGTTTGTCAGGCATTTATAGTTATTTCAAATCAGGAGGACTTTTAAAATGTCAAGTCTGTCCTATTGCCAGAAGAAAAAGTCTGTCATTCCTTACAGAACAAGAGTATTTTAAAATTTCATGGTGTCCAATGCCACATCTGACAGAGGACTGATTTCCAAAATATATAAGGAGCTCAAGAAGCTAGCCACCAAAACACCAAACAATGAAATTAAAAAGTGGGGTGCAGAACCAAATAGAGAATTCTCAGCAGAGGAATCTGATATGGCTGAAAGACACCTAAGAAAGTGCTCAAAATCATTGTCCATTAAAGAAATGCAACTCAAAACAACTCTGAGATACCATCTCACACCTGTCAGAATGGCTAAAATTAAAATACCAATTACAATCTATGCTGGAGAGGATGTGGAGAAAAAGGAACACTCCTCCATTGCTGGTGGGAGTGCGAACTTGTAAGACCACTCTGGAAATCAGTATAGTGGTTGCTCAGAAAAAGGGGAATCAGTCTACCTTAAGATCCAGCCATTCCTCTCTTGGGTATATACCCAAATA